TCAACTTCATCAACGTGGCGAGCCTTGCACGTGAGAGGCACAGTGGAGGTGGAGTTCAAAGAAGAATGAGAAATTTAATGGTTTCAATCTGCCCTTGTTTTTTCTTTTTGTTTTTATTTTTATTTTTATTTTTGCATGTTATCACTGTGCCCGTTTTTTGCTTTTATTCTTTGTTCCGCAAAGTGCGCTCTTTTAGTTTGTAGTGATGTGACAATATATAGGACGATAGGCCGCTAAGGTCTAGAGTCCACTGTTCACCAAGCCAAGGGTCCTTCCCAGCGCCCAAGGGGCTGGGTATGCAGAGTTCGTCTCCCGCCTTGGAAGGGCAATCCTCAACCGAGTGCACCGCACCGGGGTCTGAGCCTCACAAGCAGGGATAAAAAATGTCCCCAAGGAGTTGTGTGTGTATAGGGAAGGGTGTTAGGGAATTATCATGACCAGTCACCCCCAGGCTGACAGTGGCATAGAAAGGCTGATCCTGCCACCTGCAACCCCTTTTAAGAAGAAAAAAACAAAAAGAGTTGAGCTCACATGGTTGTGAGCATTCGTAGGACCTCTGTGGCAGCTTATTGCATAAGTAGTTCCTCCCCATGTTTTCTGAGTCACATAGTGTTCTCAGACTGCTCTCAGCCGAAGCCGGGTAATGGCCCAAATGATCTGTATAATTCGATATGGGACGCTGGGCCCGGTTCCCAGCACGTGCTGCTCCCCACGAATAGAATGGAGCACTTGTTTTTCAAAAAATAAAAAAATAAAGAAAAAGGAACATTCCTCACCTACCTCACGATGACTTACGCTGTAGCACCTTGGGCTCGCGATGAATTACACTAGCACCTTGGGCTCTTGCCCCCATTTTTTCTACAGGCCTGCACACTAAACTGGACTAGCAAACAAATTCATAGCTATCTGTATAATTAATGGCGATAGCCAGCTGCTGATGTCACAAACAGTTGGGATGCACCTTTCCCACAGTGCTCCCGTTTCGCAGCCGTTCCGCACCGCCTGCGCCATGTCGCACGGTTCCGGCCCGTTCCCCCCTGCGTCCTGCCATTTCGGCCCGCCCCACCCGCCTCACACCGTTTCGTTGGCGTCCCCGCCCTGCCCCCCTCGCACCATTTTGTTGGCGTCATTTCGTTGGTCATTTCATTGGCGTCCTGCACCGTGCTGCTCGGCCGCTCCCCACTGGGCCCGTGGGGCCGTTCTGGCCTTTCCCAACACTGTGCTCGAGGGCTCGCGTGGGACGCTCACGTGAGACCCTCTATTCCTTTAGAGTATTAGAGAAGGAATAAAGGGGAATAAAAAAAGAAGGAAAAGAAAAAGAAAAGGAAAGGATCCCTGTACCATAACGAAGGGAAGCAAGCGTTGAGTGGGTTTCTGATGTAAGGGATGCTGGTGCAAGGAACCTAGTCAAAAAATTCAACACCAATCACAATCAAACATGCAGGTCACTTATCCTCACACAGAAACCCTCGACAGCACAGAAACAAGATTGATATCAGCTGAAAGTCTCAAATTCTTCTTTCCCAAATCTCTCTCTCTCTCTCTCTCTCTCTCTCTCTCTCTCTCT